ATCGGAGAGCAGAGTTCGAATTCCAGTCGAATCCATTACATTCACTTACGTGCTAATACCCTTGGGAAAGGTATGAATCTAACTCTCTTGGCCTGAAGAGGCACGGTGGGAGTAATAGATAGCGACTTGGATTGAGGAATCGGAGAACCGAGTTCGAATTCCAGTCGAATCCATTACATTCACTTACATGCTAATACCCTTGGGAAAGGTATGAATCCAACTCTCTTGGCCTGAAGAGGCACGGTGGGAGTAATAGATAGCGACTTGGATTAAGGAATCGGAGAGCAGAGTTCGAATTCCAGTCGAATCCATTACATTCACTTACGTGCTAATACCCTTGGGAAAGGTATGAATCCAACTCTCTTGGCCTGAAGAGGCACGGTGGGGAGATTAATAGATAGCGACTTGGATTGAGGAATCTTGGGAGAGGCCGAATTCGAATTCCATTCGAATCCATTACATTCACTTACGTGCTAATACCCTTGGGAAAGGTATGAATCTAGCTCTCTTGGCCTGAAGGGGCACGGTGGGAGTAATAGATAGCGACTTGGATTGAGGAATCGGAGAACCGAATTCGAATTCCAGTCGAATCCATTGCATTCACTTACGTGCTAATACCCTTGGGAAAGGTATGAATCTAGCTCTCTTGGCCTGAAGAGGCACGGTGGGAGTAATAGATAGCGACTTGGATTGAGGAATCGGAGAACCGAATTCGAATTCCAGTCGAATCCATTGCATTCACTTACGTGCTAATACCCTTGGGAAAGGTATGAATCCAACTCTCTTGGCCTGAAGAGGCACGGTAGAGTAATATTTAGCGACTTGGATTAAGGAATCGGAGAGCAGAGTTCGAATTCCAGTCGAATCCATTACATTCACTTACGTGCTAATAACCTTGGGAAAGGTATGAATTCTCTTCTTCTCTCCCCATCTATAGGTAAGTAGCAGGAGAGATTTTGCCTCACTAGTCATGTATCGAAAGATACATGATCGCTTAAGCGTGTATCACGCATAGCACATAACTGAAAATCATTGATATAATCTTCCATCACAATTACCAAACCGATGAACTTCCTTACCAAAGAAGCGAATATAGTATAACAATTGAAATAGGTACGATAATCATCAGTTGTCAAAATTATAAAATATGCCATTGAGGTAAACGTGTGAACGTGGTACAAGGTGGAAAATATGGAGGATCAACTTCATTGCTCAACTACAATGATACGTAAGCATCTTGCTTGTTCACCAGACGGCCAAATCGATATCAAACATATGTCATTCTCATTTAAGAATTAGACGGCTATTATAAAATAACTTGACATTCTACGATGTCTCTAAAAAGTATATTTATATCAACAGAAGGCATTATAAGTTTCGTAAAGGCGTAGAAGTACGTCTTGTAAGTGTACATCAACAGAAGGCCATATATGTTTTGACAAGACATAGAACAACGACTTATAAATGCATATGTACGTCAACAGAAGGCAATACACATTCCGCCAATACGTAGAAGTACGTCTTGTACATGTAAATATAAGTTTTGTCAAGATTTAGAAGTACCTCTTGTAAATGTATATGTACGTCAACAGAAGGCCATATAAGATTAGCGAAGACGTAGAAGTACGACTTGTAAATGTAAATGTGCGGCAACAAAAGGTCGTATAAGTTCCGCTAAGACGTAGAAGTACGACTCGAAAATAAAAATGTGCGTCAACGGAAGGCTATATAAGTTTCACGACGACGTAAAAGGACGTCTTCTAAATGTATATTTACGTCAAAGGACGACAGTATAACTTACGCCAAGACGTAGAAGTACGTCTTGTAAATGTATATAAATGTGTATGTACGTCAATGTATATAAATGTGTATGTACGTCAATAGAAGGCCATATAAATTTCGCAAAAGCATAGGAGTATGCCTTGTAAATGTAAATGTACCTCAACAGAAGCCCGTAATTTTCCAACCGTAGCTCACATGTGGCACAAGGCCGAAAGCATGGGGCACCCAGTGAGGACCGAACTCACTACTCAGTCTTAATTGTTCTAGCGAGACAAGCTAGCTAACCATTACACCGCCTCGGGGTGCCCAAGCAGAAGACCGTATATGTTTTTGCAAATCGTAGAAGTACGCCTGGTAAATGTAAATGTATGTCAACAGAAGGCCATATATGTCTCCCCAAGACGTAGAAGTAAGTCTTGTAAATCTAAATGTACGTCAACAGGCCATATAAGTTTCGCCAAGACGTAGAAGTACGTATTGCAAATGTATATGTACATCAACAAAAGACTGTATAAATTTCGTTAAGATCTAGAAGTGCGTCTTGTAAATGCATATGTATGTCAACAAAAGACTGTATAAATTTCGTCAAGATCTAGAAGTGCGTCTTGTAAATGTATATGTATGTTAACAAAAGACTGTATAAATTTCGTTAAGATCTAGAAGTGCATCTTGTAAATGTAAATGTGCGTCAACAGAAAGCTATATAAGTTTCCCGGCGACGTAGAAGGACGTCATCTAAATGTATATTTACGTCAAAGGACGACAGTATAACTCATGCCAACGCCTTGTAAATGTAAATGTACGTCACAAGAAGGCCATATAACTTTCTTCAAGATTTTGATGTAAAATATGAGAAATATGACGCCACTAATGAAATAAATGACATTGTCTAATGAGAGAGAGAGAGAGAGAGAGAGAGAAAGACAGTATGTATGAAGAAGAAAGAGAGATTTTTTTTCATCTCTTTTTTTCCTTTCTTCATTATTTTCTTGTTTGGTTTTCTTCTCTTTCCACATTATACATCTTTTCTTCCTTTGGAAAGGGAGAATAATAAGGAGATCATCGGATGTGGTCTGCATTGATAATGGAAAGAATTCAATTTGAAATAGTAGAGAGGGGATAGAGTGAGTGAGTGAGTGAGTGAGTATGTGAGTGAGTGAGTATGTGAGTGAGTGAGTGAGTGAGTGAGTGAGTGAATATGTGAGTTAGTGAGTATGTGGAGGAGGAGTGGAGGAGGAGGAGGTGGGTGAGTGAGTGAGTGAGTGAGTGAAAGAGAGAGTGAGTATGTGAGTAAGTGAGTATGTCAGTGAGTGAGTGAATTTGTGAGTGAGTGAGTATGTGACTGAGTGAGTGAGTGGGTGAGTGAGCGAGTGAGTGTGTGAGGAGGAGTGAGGAGAATTCAGGAGTCTATAAATTGAGTGAGCGAGTATATGAGTGAATAAGTAACTAATCCTGGAGTATGTGAATGGGAGGAGGGAGGAACATGTGAGTGAGTGAGTATGTGAGTGCTGGAGTATGTGAGTGATCCGGATATATATATTGATGATGCATATGTGAGTGACTATGTGAGTGAGTATGTAACTGATTTGAAATTAAATGAATAAATTTGCATTGAATAATTGTTTATGCTTATTTCATTAATGAGTGAGCATGAGTCAAAAGTATGTGAATAAGAGGATGTGAGGAGTGAATGAGTAATATGTGGAATTTAAACAGACTAGACGCTGGAGGAGTGAGTAAGTATGTGAGTTGGAGTGAGGAATGTGAATGTATGATGTAAAATCTTAAGTGAGGAGGAGTGAGTGACTGAGTGACTGAGTGAGTAAGAGTGAAAAAAAAAGGAGTGAGAAATGTTGACTGAGTATCTGAGTGTTATTGTGAAGGTGAGTGACTGAGTATGTGAGTGAGTATGTGAGTGGTGAGTGACTGAGTGAGGAGAAGTTGGTGGTGAGTGAGTGAGTGAGTGAGTGAGTGAGTGAGTGATAAAATTTGAGAATGAGGAACTAGAACATAAATCAATTCAATATTTTACTTAAGTTTTTCACATTTACAAGCAATGTCCTCAGAAGAAGAAACCATTTATTCCTATCTTTGAACTTCTTACTGATCATGCAATTTTTAAAGGTGTGCTAAAAGCAAAAGACAAAACCTTTCATACATATATTGTATTTGTATTTGTGTGTGTGTGTGTGTGTGTGTGTACGCGCTCGCGCGTCGAGTAAAGGTGTTTCGTGATATGTACTTCTAAATTAAATTCTAATTTTTTTTTATTTTTTTTTTCCTTTCTTAAGGGACAGAGTCATTTATCGACAAAATGGATGTTGAATAAAAGCGGGAATTCAATCTGAAATGTAAGAAAAATTTAGAAAAAAAAACAAAGATTCAGGAAATGTTCTGAGAGATAAGTTACATTAAACATTTTTAACGATGACAAAAGTCATGGAAAAAAATGTTTCAAAACGAAGACTCAAAAGCGAAAAGGACGACGACATTTCACAGGGAAAAAAGGCGAGAAAATCTACAGAAATAAAAGAGGGAGAAAAGAAAAGAAAAGAAAAAAGAGAAATCCGAATAATTCCGGTTGAAGTATTTCTTTAAGTAAAACACCAAACCTGACAATTGAGAAATAAATCATTCTAATAAACACTATTTTATAATATATACATATATATTCATACGTGCATATAAATATATATATATTTACATGTATGTATGTGTAATGTATGTATATATATATACATATATATCTATATATTTATATATATATACATATATATATATATATATATATATATATATATATATATACACACGCACACACAAATATATGTATATAAAAGTACATATTCATGCTTATCTTTTTCTTCTATTTTTCCACCCCTTCATCCTTTTATCCACATCCCCTCCTCATCCTCTCTTATCTTTTCTATCTTCCTCTTCTCTTCTTCCGCCCCTCCTCTTCCTCCAACTCTTACTCTTTCATGCCCTCCCCCTCCCTTTCTACCCTATACATGTATATGTTCTTAGACAAGCACATATTTCTGCTTATACGTTTATATACTTATATAAGTATGCACACATACGCTCAAATATACATAGATATACATATATAATTTTATAAAAATGGGAAAATCGAAATGTAAAGGTTTAAATTAAATATCAAAAAAGGAAAAGAGAAGAGAAGAAAAATAATTCTAAAAGAAATTTATTTTTTTAAATTATGAAAAAACAAAATGGTGGATGAAGAAGAAGAAAAGAGCAAATGAAAGAATAAGAAAATAAGCCCCAGTAAGAAAATTAAACAAGATGAGGAAGAAGAGATTAAGGAGAGGGAAAACAGAGGGAGGAGAGGAATAAAAGGATAGAAGGTGGAAGAGGAGAGGTGGAGAAAGAGAAATAGGGAAAGAGGAAGTTGAGGAGGAAGAGGATAAAAAGTGGAAAGGATAAAGAAGAGGAAAACGGAAGGGATAGGAGGCGATGAAGACGGGGATGAAAGTGTAAAAAGTGAGGTGGAGGAAGAGGAGAGGTGAAAGAAGAGGAAGACGGAGGGGATGAAGACAGGGAAGGGGATCAAAGTTTAAGAAGAGAGGTGGAGGAAGAGGAGCGGTGGAAGAAGAGAAGAGGAAGATTGAAAAGATAAGAGAGGATGAGGAGAGAATAAAAGTTGGAAAGGATAAAGAGGAGAGGTGGAAGAAGAGGAAGACGGAGGGGATAAGAACAGGGAAGGGGATCAAAGTGTAAGAAGGAAGGTGGAGGAAGAGGAGCGGTGGGAGAAGAGAAGAGTAAGATTGAAAAGATAAGAGAGGGTGAGGAGAGAATAAAAGTTGGAAAGGATAAAGAGGAGAGGTGGAAGAAGAGGAAGATGGAGGGGATGAAGACGGGGAAATGATGAAAGTGTAAGAAGAGAGATGAAGGAGAAGGAGGGGTGGAAGTAGCAAAGAGGAAGATGGAAAAGATAAAAGAAGGAAAACGGGATAAAAGGATGAAGGAGTGGAGAAAAAAGAAACAACTAAAAAGTGAAAGAGAAACTGAAGTGGTACATGAAAAAAAAAAGCCGTTTGAAATTATGAAAAAGAAGACAAATAGCAAAATAGGTAATGGCGGAATGAAGAACATTTCCTATAAAAACAAAATGTCTTCCGTTAATGTCATTAATAGGGAGGGGATGAGGAGATTGAACAAACAAAACCTTACAATTAAATGCGCATAAACAATGTTGTAAAACTAAAATCGCCAAAAACGAAAAGCGTACACCCTCTTAAGAAATTGAAAATAAATACAAATACACTCGAAGAATGCTTACCTCGGAACAAAATACAATATTTAGGTATTTGTATACAGATCTATTCAACCACGTATGCGCCATTTTGTTCAGCCCCCGTTCGCCATCTTTGAGGCAGGTTAATGATTCCGCCCTCCCTCTAAATGTTTTTTACTGTCTTCATAAGAACTGAATGTCTTCTAATGAAAAGAATTTTTAAGCGATCGAAATAGTTGGAAATAAGAAGGTGCAAGCTCAGGTGAGTGCGGCAGCTGTAGTGCAAAACTGCAGCAATTTCTGCTTGGTCTGCAAAGGGACGTGAGTTTTTGATGTTGCCCTGATGGAAGACGGCAGATTTCCGATTGATCAATTCCAGTCGATTTTTAATCGATTCAATTGGGAATAGTTCATGTCTGAATTCAATGTCTGATTGTACGGGAAAGGTTCATAATGCACAATATCTTCCAATCCTACCAGATACTCGGCATCACCTTATCTGGGAGCAGACGGGCTTTTGAAGTTGTTTATAGTAGTTCGTTTCGTTTTTCGCAGCATCTTTTTTTCTCCACATTGTTGTAAACAAATCATTTTCCATCGCCGGTGATCGTTCTAGTGAAAAATGTGTCATTTTGTTGTGTTTTGAATCACAGATGGAAATGCGGCAATTAAATATTATCCGTCAAATCGTGAGATAGCTAAACATTTAGTGTGTTCCCGTGTTTTTAAATGCCTTACAACGCTCGTATGAGGTATGTGAGGTTTCGTGTCAAGTGGCCCGTATTAATTTCAGCCAGCGTTTCGATTGGTTATCATAAAAGACGGCAGGCCTCCCAGAACATTCTCGTGTTTCCAGAAACTCACCTGTGGCACAATTCCCACAAAGAGCACATAAATTTATTGCTGTTCTCCAGTTCTGTCATTCCTTTCTGGAAATTTGGTTGGTTGTTTTATGGCATATCAACCTCAGTGGGTCATTTAATGCCAACAAAATTTTGAAATAGATTCAAAGCGATAGTTTGGTAAAAAAAAAAAGGTGTGTATGTATACATATGTATTTGAATCATATTTCAATTACTCATATTTTTGTGTACAATAACGTATTGCTGGTAATATTTTTTTTCAAAAACGTATTGCTGGTAATATTTTTTTTTCTTCAAAAATTTATTGTTGGTAATATTTTTTACAAAGTATCTCTGGTATTAAAACTTATTTATTATACACTTTCATAGAGTTTTGACCTCAGTTTGGGGTGTTAACTATTTACCCATAGGTGGGACCCTAACAGGTGCTACCACCCCAGGTCAGGGTAGACCTGGCAACACCAGCAATTAAGAGGTGGTTCAACGCTCCTCAAACCTCCTGATCAGAGGCCTTGCTGTTGGACGTAATTTATCGTCTTACCCAGGACGCGGATGTAGTTTATCGTGGTACCCAGGATGGCTTTCCGGAAATAAAAGTTTGTCAAATGACTAAAATGCACATCATTTTCCTCCGTTTTTATTTTTTAATGTAAAAACGTTTAAAATCTATAACAGTAGAGTGAAATGTCACCTTTCGAAATATGGATATATCTCATAAATTTACATATATATATATATATATATATATATTAAGAAATGGAAAAAGTCCGACTATTTATTTATTAAAGACATTTTTATGTTTAACGTTCTTTTTATAGATACAAGTATTTAAGTAAATGCTCTGTTTATAATAAACAGTATTAAATAACATTTACCGGCCTGAATGTCAGAGAAATTTTCATAGAAAATATTCGCCCTTTGACAGGATTCGAACTTGCATCCTATACGGAACCGTCATTTACGCTGACGTGCCTTAATCGACTCGGCCACAAAGGAGCGTTCGGTAGGCAAAGTCGTTTATAAGCAGTAAATTCGACTTCTCGGACATTCAGGCCGGTAAATGTTATTTAATACTGTTTATTATAAACAGAGCACTTACTTAAATACTTGTATCTATAAAAAGAACGTTAAACATAAAAATGTCTTTTTTATATATATATATATATATATATATATATATATATATATATATATATATATATATATATATATATATATAATGATAGAAATTATTAGGAGGATTTGAAATAATCACAAATAATTCATTGAGTCTAGAAGAATCCTCAACAATATGTAGAAAGTACTGGATGACCATTTCGTCCTCTATTTGCGACTCATCACCGCATCCGCTACGGAGAATCGAACTCGGACTGTTAAGATACGATGCAAGCGTCATACCAACTATAACTCATCGAGTCTAGAGAATCCTCAACAGAATGTTTTCTGTATCCTGTTGAGGATTCTGGGGGTCACAGTCCGTTGGGTTAGGGAAATCCGGATGAGTTACACCACGTTATTTGTGAAGAACGCAGAGGTCCGTTGGTATGACGCTTGTGTCCTATCGTAACGGTCCGGGTTCGAATCTCAATAGTGGATGCGCACTACTGATGAGTCCCAAAATAAGACGAAACGGCCGTCCAGTGCTTTCTGCATTCTGTTGAGGATTCATCTAGACTCGATAAATTACTTATGATATATATATATATATATATATATATATATATATATATATATATATATATATAAGCAGCAATCCTTCCTTTATGCATGTTTCATTAAAAACGACAGACACGGTACTACGGTTGAGCTTTTTATTTAATTTTTTCTTGTGTTCTGACAAGAGCTTTCTTTTCTGGACAAAAGTGTGTAAGAACTGTCCGAATGTTCTGTATTTCGAGCGCTTTCGGCTATACTTTTAGCCATTATCAAGGATGATTCGATTATCAGCTTTAGAGTGTGTGTGTTCTGTGTATGTTCGGTGTGTGCTAACCGTATTCGGAAACTAAAAACATCACTACCACACACCGAACATACACAGAACACACACACTCTACTAAGCTGGTAATCGAATCATCCTTGATGATGGCTAAATGTATAGCTGAAAGCGCTCGGAAATATAAAACATTTGGACAGTTCTTACACACTCTTTGTCCAGAAAAGAAAGCACTTGTCAGAACACAAGAAAAATTAAATAAAAAAAGCTCAACCGTAGTACCTTGTCTGTCGTTTTAATGAAACATATATATATATATATATATATATATATATATATATATATATATCCAACATGTTGGTACAACCAACAAAGAGCCTGGCCGCTATGGCACCATCCTAATAAACCGTCTATCGTGAATTAGCTAGTGAAAAATGCTACGAACTTTTGTTTCAACCCAATCAATTCAAAGGAGGATTGAGGCAGTGGTGATGAAGATACTGCAAATTTGGATGAGAATAACTTAAATTCAAGCCCTAGAGACATATGCAATGGATGTTTAATAATAATAATAATAATGAATATGACCGTAGTAGCATTCGTGCCAATCATTAATAGGTCAGAGGTATGAAAATATTGAAAGGTTCTACAGATCTCTGATCATAATAATATTTAGTGAATAAATAAACTCTTTGTAAATTCTAAGACTACAAAATATCCGTGAAATTGCCTCTATTGCATCTTTAAATACTTTCCTTCCGTCTTTCTTTACTTTCTTTCTTTTCTTTCTTCCTTTCTTTCCTTCTTACTTTCTTTTCTTTCTTTTTTCCTTCTTTCTTTTCTTTTTCATTAATTTCTTTTCTTTCTTTCTTTCTTTATTTATTTTCTTTCGTTTTTCCCTCTTTCTTTTAATTCTTTCTTTATTTCTTTCTTTATTTCCTTCTTTCTTTCTTTCTTTTTTTCCTTTCTTCATTTCTTTCTTTCTTTTCTTTCTTTATTTCTTTCTTTCTTTTCTTTCTTTATTTCCTTCTTTCTTTGTTTCTTTCCTTTATTTCTTTCTTTTCTTTCTTTCTTTCTTTCCTTCTTTCTTCCTTTTCTTTCTTTCTTCCTTTCTTTCTTACTTTCTTTTCTTTCTTTTTTCCTTCTTTCTTTTCTTTTTCATTAATTTCTTTTCTTTCTTTCTTTCTTTCTTTATTTTCTTTCGTTTTTCCCTCTTTCTTTTAATTCTTTCTTTATTTCTTTCTTTATTTCCTTCTTTCTTTCTTTCTTTTTTTCCTTTCTTCATGTCTTTCCTTCTTTCTTTCTTTCTTTTCTTTCTTTATTTCTTTCTTTCTTTTCTTTCTTTATTTCCTTCTTTCTTTGTTTCTTTCCTTTATTTCTTTCTTTTCTTTCTTTCTTTCCTTCTTTCTTCCTTTTCTTTCTTTCTTCCTTTCTTTCTTTTTTTCTTTTCTTTCTTTTTTCCTTTTTTCTTTTCTTTTTCATTTCTTTCTTTTCTTACTTTATTTCCTTCTTTCTTTCTTTTTCTTTTCTTTCTTCCTTTCTTTCCATCTTTCTGTTTTCTTTTCTTTTTGTTTCCTTCTTTTTGTTTCTTTCTTTTTTCTTTTTTTTATTTATTCTTTTCATTTTTCTTTCTTTCTTTTCTTTCTTTATTTCCTTCTTTCTTCTTTTTTCTTTTCTTTCTTTCTTTCCTTCTTTCTTTTCTTTCTTTTTCCTTCTTTCTTTTCTTTCTTCCTTTCTTTCCTTTTTCTTTCTTTTCTTTCTTTTTCCTTCTTTCTTTTCTTTTTTCATTAATTTCTTTTCTTTCTTCCTTTCTTTCTTTTCTTTCTTCCTTTCTTTCCTTTTTTCTTTCTTTTCTTTCTTTTTTCCTTCTTTCTTTTCTTTTTCATTTCTTTCTTTTCTTTCTTTATTTCCTTCTTTCTTTTCTTTCTTCCTTTCTTTCTTTCATTCTTTCTTTCTGTTCTTTCTTTTTTCCTTCTTTCTTTTCTTTATTCATTTCTTTCTTTTCTTTCTGTTCTTTCTTTTTTCCTTCTTTCTTTTCTTTCTTCCTTTCTTTCTTTCTTTCTTTCTTTCTTTCATTCTATTTTTCTTGCCTGCCTTTTCTCTTTGCAACCAAACAGTCTAATATGTTTCATCTTTTATCGCGATCAAAACGGAATAGTCCATTATTTATGCAGTCGTAACACACCGGTTGACCTCAGCAGATTCATCTTCGTAGCATTACCTAAGAAACTAGGTGCAAATGAATTCGAGTTTCAGCGAACAATCTGTTTAATGAGCCACCCGTCCCAACTAATCACGCAAAACTTGATTAATAAAACGCGTATCAGAATTAGAACGGAAACAGAACACAACTAGCGTGTCTTTGTCAAGGACACTGGAACAAGAAATGCAATATTTATGAACAAATGGCATCGTAGAGAACAATGTAAATGCAGAAGGATGTACACTAATGTTTTATAGATTACGCATTTAAATCATTTAACAAAGAACGACACAAAGATCTATTTGAACTGTTAGGAAAACTCGATCTATTCGGAAAGGATGTTATAATAGACCATAATTTATACTGGGATTAAACCACCTGTAAATGAATATAAAACGAATCGATTTAGTGTACAAAGATTAGAAAGTGGCATGAAACAAGAAGGGGTCTTCTATCCAGATCTGTTCAACCTCTAAGCAACGAGACAGTCCTAAGGCAGCTGGAGACCCTAACATGACTTATTATCGGAGTAGTCTTACAAATATACGCAGATGACAGTGTCTTGATTGCAGACACAGAAAGAATACCATAGGACATTCTAAACAAGATGGTAATGGAAAGGGAATCAAAACAATTAGCTATTAATTATCAGCAAGAGAAAAACTGAAGATGCGGACTACACATTGAAGTTTAAATATCTGGCAAATGTTTTAAAATATGGAAAATACGACGATGAAAACCGAATGCACACAAAATAATTAGCGAAAAAAGCCTTCGAAAATCTAAACAAAATGCGAAGAAACAAGAATCTCTCGTTAGAAGCAAAGAAAATAATGCTGAATTGATATATGATATGCTGGGCAATCTCATCACGAATGAGGAGGAAACTGGAAGCAACAGAAATGTTGTCCTACAGAAGGATACTGAGAATACGAAAGACAGAGCGAGTAAGCAACGAGGAAGTCTTAAAGAAAAATGCTAACAAGAAGAACACATCTACTTAGAATCAGGAAGAAAAAAAAACTGGAAATTCTTGGACACCTAATGAAGAAGGAAGACTTGGAAAACTTGACTTGAAAACAGGGCATATCGAGAGCAAGAAAGATGGTCAAAGGCAGTGGGCCGCGCCTACACGACTAGCTTGTGTGGAATAAATGGCGGGACGGTGTGAGTGAGTCTTGACAAAACGAGAAACACCGCTAAGTGCCACGAGGTATAGGAGGTTGTGGTGAGTCATGAACACCCACGTCCTGAAGGGACATGGCACATAGAAAATTGGCAAGGCATAATGTATGTGCTAAGAAGCAATCGCAATGATAATAATAATATTTTTGATATAATAATAGCAATATTACTGTTGTTAATGATGATTGTGTTTAAATCTATATGTATTGGATTTACTTTCAATGCTGATGATTAATTTTCAGAATGATGATGATGATTATTATTATGAAGGCGGCGGTGATGGTGGTGATGGTGGCGGTGTTGGCGGTTCTCTCAGCGATGCCTATGGTGGGAATTTTCCTTGAGGCGATGAGGGTAATGAATATGAAAAATGCTGTTAATTATTATTTCTTTAATAACAACAACAATAACAATTGCCACAATAATTGACAGTGAAGACACAGTATATCAGTAAGTAACAAAATTAATTAATCAAAATAAAGCGAGAGCCGAGAAAGGAGGTGGGGGTGAAGGAGAGAAAAGAATGAAAATCCGTTAAAAGAACAAATAAAAAGTGGAGGGACTTAGGAAGTAATATGAAGATGAAAATAACGATGACGGTTGATAGGGTCGTCTTTCTAATCGAGAGCTGATCGGGGTTACACAGCGGGTGGCTTGTGAAGCCATTATCGCGGGTCTCAATCAAAAACTCTTTTAAGCAGACAGGGAAGTTGAAGGAGAAGGTGTAGCTTTCACAGGCGGGCTGGGAGTCGAGATGTGTTGAGCATAATTAAAAAGATTCATTTGTCGCAGGTGACAGAATCATTTCAAATCGCTGGAGAAATTTTGCAGATTAAAAGTAAAAGGAATCAGCGAAGCACTGTTTGTCAATGCCGAATGAAATGAACAGGCGAATGCAGGCGAGCGGGCACGCGAACAAGAAAGAACGCTCGAGCGTTTCCCGCTTTAAATTGCGTTCATAGCATCACGACTTTAAAAAAAAAAAAAAAAGAAAGAAAGAAGAAAACGATTTATTTAGAACTACTTTCACTTTCACTTTCGATTCTAATTTCTTCCGGCATTTCTTGTCTTAGTTTTTGTTTTAGCATGAGTTGATTACTATGTTTTATTGCCTATTATAGAAGATATACATGAATACCTATCTATTTTCTTGCCTTCTACCATGTTTCAAATTTTTGTTTCCTTTGTTATTTATTTATCTCATAATTGTTTTTAAGCTTATTTGTTCTTTCTTTTAACTCTTGCTTTTTCTTTCCTTTCTATTTCTTTGTTTTTATTCTTACTTTATCCTATTTTCGGCTTTCTTTTTCTTTTTTTTAGTTGCAATCTTTTTTTCTTCCTTTTTCTTCAGTCTTTCTTTGATTAGACGCTCTTTACTTTATTCTTTTTCTTGGTTTTACTGAATTCATTTCCTTTCCATGTATTTTTATCTGCTTATTTAATTCACTCTCCTCGTCTTGCATTATTCTTTATTTCTTTCTAAGTCGAACTTAAGTCTGTCTTATTAACTTCGTTCTTTCTTTCATTTTTATTTCTGTCTTTCTCTTGCTCTTTTACTGAAACCTGCTTTTCGTTTCTCCTTTCTTTCTTTCTTTTTTTGAATTTATTTACCTGCTTTTAATTTATTTACTCTGGATCTAATTTTCCTGAAAACTCGCGAAATGCTGATAAAATCTCTTTTTCATTTTCCCTTTTTTTTATTTCATGTTTTTTTTTTTATGTATTTTCTGTAATTTTTATTGCCGCATTCCGACATATATATTCCTACATATATATTATTTTATCTTTTATTTTTGAAGGAATGCATTTTCTTTTCTTTTCATTTTTATTTTTTTTTTTTTTTTTTTTTTTTTGCATTGCAAATTCCGGATACAAATAATTACATTTGCCTCTTTTCGTAACACACTTTTGTTCACCGGCAATCTGTCCAATCGGGTAACTGGGTACACCTTTTGCTTTTCAGCGCAATTAGATTCAATTTCCTGCTGGCATTGTTCGGTAGTGAATCCTCCAAAAACCTGATTTTACAAGCATATGTATAGCGCTACATTTTTTGTCAATATGTCAAATCTGGATGTTTAATTCAAATCAAGTATTTCATTTGACAGACTAAAACTCTTTCCTTCTTAACAAACCGAAAAAAAGAACGTTTTTCCTTTCTCACTTCTTCTATGTACCGTGTTCCTTCAGGTCATTGACGATCATGGCTCTCCACAATTTCCTCTTTTTTTTAGGCTTTAATAAATGTTGTATTTTTTTTATAGTCTCCCTTAAATCCTGTTCTGTTATTCATTCACACAAACTCACCAGTTAGGTTATGTGTTGCTTTCCTGTTCCTCTAGCCTTCAATCTGTCCTGTGAGTATCTAATTTTCCAAACCTTCTTTCCTCATTATGTGCCCTAAGAATTTCAAATGTCTCTTTCTGATGTTCTTTTTGCCTCATTTTCTCTAAGACTTCGCCGTTGCTCACATGTTCAATTCATGGTATTCTCAATATCCTTCTGTATCGAAAGATTTCTGTTGCTTCAAGTTTCTTCTTCATCTATGTGGAGATTGCCAGCATTCACTGATATTGTATAACAGTTCAGTGTTCTTTATTTTTAACGAAATTTTCCTGTTTCTTAATACGTCGCATAGCTTTAGGATTTCAGTGTTGCACTTGGCATCCTCTCTTGAAACACTTCTCAGGTATTTAAATTAAACTATTTTAATTTTATATTTTTTAAAGAATATGAGTTAGAGAGATGGAGATGCAGCGCACTTCACGCAAGTTTTCAAAATAGAACGTTTTCTCATACAACGCCTGATATTCTGATTTTTGCAGTTTATTGTTAATTTCTAAATGAAACTCGGCGTATGTGTGTGCTCTCAAGACTTTATTCGTGTGAATGTATGTGTACGTGTGTGTGCGTTTTACAAAGTTATAAACATACAAAATACAATTTTTTAAAGAAGAATGTGAAGAAGAAGAAGAAAAATGGAAGAAGTAAAAGAAGAAGAAGAAGAAAAAGAAGAAGAAGAAGAATAAGAAAGGAAGAAGGGGAATGTGAAGAAGAAGAAAAATGGAAGAAGGGGAATGTGAAGAAGAAGAAGAAGAAGAAGAAGAAGAAGAAGAAGAAGAAGAAGAAAAAAAAATGGAAGGGGAATGTGAAGAAGAAGAAGAAGAAGAAAAAGAAGAAGAAGAAGAAAAATGGAAGAAGGGGAATGTGGAGAAGAAGAAGAAGAAGAAGAAAAAGAAGAAGAAGAAGAAAAATGGAAGAAGGGGAATGTGAAGAAGAAGAAGAAGAAGAAGAAGAAGAAAAATGGAAGAAGGGGAATGTGAAGAAGAAGAAGAAAAATGGAAGAAGAAGAATGTGAAGAAGAAGAAAAATGGAAGAAGAAGTATGTGAAGAAGCAGAAAAATGCAAGAAGAAGAAGAAGAAGAAGAAATTCCAGGTAGGTATTGCTGTTTTGAAAGGTTTTGTGTAAGAAAAAGTAAGAAAATAAAAATAAAAAGTACACCATTAAAAAGTTCCTAGAATACCGGAACTTCTCTTCATTTGTCTTTGGTTTTTATTCTTTTTCAGATCATTACCGCAACCATTAATGCAATATCCACGCGGTCATTACCGACTCCATTATTCCTTCATTATTTTTTTTAACCATTTTTATAGAATGATCATTTTTACAAGCTTTTCATCCAATACAAAGCCCCAAATCCACGCAAGGTATAGAATTATTGGATAAGATTTTTGTATGGATGTAATACGAAAAAATAAATAATTTTGTCTGGACGTAATATGAGAAAATAAATAATTTTGTCTGGACGTAATATGAGAAAATAAATAATTTTGTATGGACGTAATACGAAAAAATAAATAATTTTCTATGGACGTAATACGAAAAAATAAATAATTTTGTATCGACGTAATACGAAAAAATAAATAATTTTGTATCGACGTAATACGAAAAATAAATAATTTTGTATCGACGTAATACGAAAAAATAAATAATTTTGTATGGACGTAATATGAGAAAATAAATAATTTTGTATGGACGTAATACGAAAAAATAAATAATTTTCTATGGACGTAATACGAAAAAATAAATAATTTTCTATGGACGTAATACGAAAAAAATAAATAATTTTGTATCGACGTAATACGAAAAATAATTAATTTTGTCTGGACGTAATATGAGAAAATAAATAATTTTGTATGGACGTAATATGAGAAAATAAATAATTTTGTATGGACGTAATACGAAAAAATAAATAATTTTCTATGGACGTAATACGAAAAAATAAATAATTTTCTATGGACGTAATACGAAAAAATAAATAATTTTGTATCGACGTAATACGAAAAAATAAATAATTTTGTATCGACGTAATACGAAAAATAAATAATTTTGTATCGACGTAATACGAAAAAATAAATAATTTTGTATGGACGTAATATGAGAAAATAAATAATTTTCTATGGACGTAATACGAAAAAATAAATAATTTTCTATGGACGTAATACGAAAAAATAAATAATTTTCTATGGACGTAATACGAAAAAATAAATAATTTTCTATGGACGTAATACGAAAAAATAAATAATTTTGTATCGACGTAATACGAAAAATAAATAAATAATTTAAATAATTTTTATCGACGTAATACGAAAAAATAAATAATTTTGTATGGACGTAATACGATTTTTTTAAAAATAAATAATTTTGTATGGACGTAATATGAGAAAATAAATAATTTTGTATGGACGTAATATAAGAAAATAAATAATTTTGTATGGACGTAATACGAAAAAATAAATAATTTTGTATGGACGTAATATGAGAAAATAAATAATTTTCTATGGACGTAATACGAAAAAATAAATAATTTTGTATGGACGTAATATAAGAAAATAAATAATTTTGTATGGACGTAATATGAGAAAATAAATAATTTTGTATGGACGTAATATGAGAAAATAAGCACAGATAGACACTGGATTTGAAGGGGGCTAAGATTGTAGTGATCGAGGCAGCATCTTGTCGTGAGTCCGTAGCACCTTTGATCAGGATAGTTAAAATCAAGGTAAAAACTCTCACTGAGGATTTGAAAAGGAGATTTTTGTTTGACAATCTGGCGCATGTTTCTCTCCCCAACAGTAATCATATATCTTTAATAAATAACTAAACACTTCCAGATAGCTGGATTGGATGAAGTGGCATTGTTGAATTTCAATTTCATTCAGTAGTTTTAACTGCAACTAACGTCCTGTTTGCCAACCAGTCTCCAGGCGAGGGGTGGTCTCCGGTATCCAGCAAAGAGGATAGTTTCATTCGTTCAAAAAAAAAAAAAAAAAAAAAGAAACAGATGCATAATATGATTTACTTCCTAATTGTATTAAGATTTCTATTCGTTCTTATTTCAAAGTGTTTAATTAAGTTTCACGTGCTAAGCATCGTTACTATTAACAAAGTAGGAAGGCAATTTTATCGGGCATATTGTGTAATTTCAAGTGATGTTTGTAGAGACAGGAACACTAACATGAATGTCTTTTCAATAACACACACACACACACACACATACATACATACATACATACATACATACATATATATATACACATATACAGTGAGCCCCCGCCTATTCGCGTTTCAACATTCGCGGCTTCACACATTCGCGGATTTTTCTTTAGAACATGTGTACTTGTTATTCGCAGAAACTTCGAATATTGTTTTTCTGAAGAACATATGTACAAATTATTCGTTGAGAACTCCCTCAATTCGCGTATTTTTTTCGATAGAAAATATTTAAAATATACTTGTATTATTTTCCTGTTGTTTAAGTGACTTAAAACATATAACAGTCGATTTTTATGGTAAAAATTGGCAGAATTGTACATCTTCATTTAAAAAAAAAAACAAACGCAAAAACATGCGTAGTGCATGGGCTTTGTTCTTTGTTATGGTCTGTGGCTGGGGTCATAAAAGTGGCTTATGCTAAGTCTGGGGGGGGGTCATCATCACAGTTCTGATTTTAAAAAAAAGTGTTTTAAACTTTATATTTTATATCTTGTTACACATATTTTATACAGTATTTTCAATGGTTGCATCGATCTATGCGTAATTAAATACGGCTATTGTACGTATGAAAGAAAATTTACGCTAAGTGTATGGTCACCAATACTATTTTCCAAAAATGTTTTTAAAAGGGTCTGAAATGGTTCTAAAGTGCTCAGGGTGAAAGTTTAAGGCCTATGGTACTTATAAGCCCTTTTAGGCGGGGTTACAACTATTCGCGGATTCTAACTATTCGAGGACGGTTCTGGTCCATAACCTCCGCGAATATGGGGATCCATATATATATATATATATATATATATATATAT